CACCCACACACAAAAGAGACCTGCAGTCAGGGGCGGACTGGGACTACAAATCAGCCCGGAACTCCTCGACCGGCCCACTTCGGTACCGCCGGCCCACCGCGGTACCACAAGTAAATACCGTTAGTAAATTGTCGACGGGGGTGCTAGTGACTTACCGCAGAGGTAGACATTAAGGGTAAAATGCCACGGTAGAATTGTATTATCACTGGCCCAACCATTGTAACCACTGGCCAGATGGTGATCAGTTTGCAACTCCACCCCTCTCTTTACCTGAGTGTCCAAAACATACGGCCTCAGGTCCGATGATACGATAACGAAATCGATCATGGACCTTCTGCCTAGGGTGCTCTGGTACAACGTACACTTATGAGCATCGTTATGTTCGAACATGGTGTTTGTTATGGCCAATCCATGACTAGCACAGAAGTCCAGTAACAAACCACCACTCCGGTTCAGATCAGGGGGGCCGTTCCTCCCAATCACACCCCTCCAAGTGTCTTCATCATTGCCCACATGTGCGTTGAAGTCTCCCAGCAAGATTAAAGAGTCCCCTTCAGGAGCTCCATACAGGACTCTTTCCAGGGTCTCCAAGAAGGCCGTATACTCTGAACTGCTGTTTGGTGCATAACCACACACAACAGTCAGAGTTTTCCCCACCATAACCCGCAGGCGTAGGGAGGCGACCCTCTCGTCCACTGGGGTAAACTCCAACAACGAAGCACCCAACCGGGGACTTGTGAGTATAAAAATGTTATTAAAAAGGCATGTACACCATAACAAATGACTATTGAGGTCTATTGTCAGGAATGTTAGTGTTATATCAAATAGTGAATTCTACTGCAGCAGAATGTTGCACGTCTGCACAGTGTTATATGTTCACCGCTCAGTGTCAGTAAATATTGTGCAGTTAGTATTGGACTACAAGCCTGTACAGGTAGAGTTATTTAAAGCATAAATGAGTCGGTTGGGTTCTGGATGTGTGGTTACAGCAATTGTGCTTGGTTGGCGTGGCCTAGGCCTGGTGGTGGGGCCCAATGTGATATATTTTCATGGGGCCCAAAATCCCTGGCGGCGCCCCTGCACACACCTACAGCTCCTAAAGCATAATCAGGCTGCAGCCGTTGTGTATTTATTATGTGAAGCACTAAATGGTCTTAGAAAAATATCGACTCTTTGTTTGTATATATAATATAATAAACTACAGCATACAAATACAGTGAGTAATGTAGGCCTGTTATACTGAGTGATATATATTTTTACACACTGCTCTGCTTTCTGCACAGACCTCACAGCTGTTCTCACTGTAAACATCGCGTTGCAGTTACTAAAATAATATCCAGGGGATGCATGCAGAGCTGTCATTGGCTGAGATAAATCCGGCCGTGCGTCACGCCTCCACCGTTCCCGGAAATAAAAGATATCATAAACCTGTTAATGTACGCATTCAAACACTTTTTCTTTTACCAGCTGTAATCACCTTGCAGATGCAGCTATGTGGCTTTTATCCTGGATAAAGTGTTTAAGTCATGGATGTTTAACTTCTTCATATTTGTCTAATATTATAGTTGACTTTTCATTCAGGAAGTATGACGCTGCGCTGTCTGTACGCTTCTCCATGTTTGTATTTGGTCGAATGCTCCAGATACCACCCCTTTCATGTGAACGCGCACCTAACTAGATAGGACACGGCTGGCTTGAGCGAACGAGTTGATAGCCAGCGTTGTAGGACAGTTTAGCGAGAGCAGCTTTGTTTTGGATTAAGTCAACCGGATAACTCAAAACATATCCAGGATAGGTTGAACTAGATTCGTAGTATACCCTCCTGCTTTCCCCCAAGATTTAATAGAGCAAAGGAAATAACTGACTCTGTTAAGCTGCAGGTGGGTGTAAAGTAGATGTGCATACACATGATCCTGTTAAAAGACTGTTTGTGTGAGTGTGAACACAAACACTAATAACTCACGTGATCTGGCTGCTGTTGGACTTCTGCAGATCCTGGTGCAGACTGATGACCCACTGCTGGTACTCGTGCTTCTGAATGCCTGTCACCTGCTTCAGCTCACTGGCCCACTTGTTCTCCAAGACCTGTTTAAAGAAGTCAAACACTGAGGAACTTCATATTTTGACTAAACAGGCCCAGGTGAATTGAGAAATGGACAAATGTCTTCGGAGAAATTAGAAACGTGTTGTGAGATCGAGGTGCACCTGCTTTTTTACCTGTTGTGCATCAAAATGTTGAGAGGCCACTGCATTTACATCATGGTCACTCAATGTATTCCCCAGCTCGTGCATCACTTTGTCCATCTCAGATGCTTGCCTGACAGACACAACAATTATCACAGATTTCAACATAATAATAAAGAATTCAGCATCAAAATCCTCATTTACAGTGCCTTACAATATTTATTATATATTTACCCCCTTTGCTATGATGCCTCTTAACTAAATCTGGTGCAACGAACTCTATCCAGAGGTCACATAGTTAAATGATAGTTCCCTAATACCAACCTCTCTTGGAGCTTCTTTAGCTCCATGTCTCTCTCACTGATGAGCTCGGAGATGCTAACAAAGTAGTTGTGCTCCAGGTTGAGGAGGGTATCTGAGGCAGGGGAGTGGATCAGCTCGTGGTAAACATCGGCAAAGTCCTCGTCCCAGCTGGGCTCCTCGGGACGAGCGTGTTCCAGCGTAGTCTGGAAGCGTCATAAAATAAATAAACAAAATGGTCAAACAGAAAAATCAACTGAAATAATTCAATAAAAACTGAATTTAATTAAAACTGTTTTGGGTAATGATCTGCTGCACCAAAGTGACTAGCAATATTTTCATTTTTTCCAGAATAAAGTGCAAAAAACAACATCCTATGTGACCACAGCAAGATATAAACGAAGGGCAACACATGCTATATGTTCAGCTCTGGTCAATAAACAACCCACCCATAATTAGTAATGCAGATCAGTATTAGAATGTGAAACCTTCTATTAATACAGGCTCAGGAATCCTCAGGCCACAAGCACGGCGGACGCTGGAAAGCTTCCATGTGTATTTCTGTGTGACTGCAGTGAAATGCAAATGCATAGTCAGGCCTTAAATTAATGTCTGAGTGCAGTGGAGCGGGGGAGATTTCACAACACGTGCTGAGGCAGCCTTGTCTTTTTTTAAATGCCCGGTCAAGTGACAGCAGAGTTCAGACTCCTGAACTTTGAAGGATCAACACAGAAAACCGTATTGCCCTTTCTAAAATAAGAAATAAGAGGCGTTCACTCTCAGTGTTTGCATAGGTGAGAAAACAATACTTAATATTAATTAGAAATCCACTTTTGAGTGTCACTAGAGTATTTTTTATTGATCCTTATTTGAAAGTGTTGACCCTACTCTTAAATGATGTGTAGGACGCCACCACATAATGGATCTCTGGGAAGAACTCATTAATAATTAATTTGCAGATGCACTGTACCACTCATTTAAATTGCATTATTGATGCGTCCCCAAAGCAGGAGCATTCGAGGACACTTCCTAAACATCTCTGCAATACTACAGAAACGTAGAGTAGTGGATATTCGAGCAGGGTAAGTCCAGCAGCATCTGAGATTACCACCGACCAAGAATAAAACATGCTGTCCACATTATTAATAGACATGCATGTATTTCATATAAATATCTTCCTTGAGTTTTTTAAGCGTTTTCTGTCATCACAAACTGAAATGATCGTCCAGGAGAGGAAATATAGAGAGGTTAGGATAACACGTAGAGTTATTTAAGATCTTAATATCCATGTTATATTATCTTTTTGAAATAGACTGTTATTTTAGCTGAATATTTGAATGTAAGATGTAGAGGTTGTTGTTGAGTCACAGAGGCTCTGTGAGGGTGATCCATCTCATTAGTTGTGTTTATGGCCTTGTTCTCAAATCGAATATTATTTTACTAATACAATTCAATATGTGTAGTCTACAACAGCCACAACATGGTGTAAAGCCAGAGTCAATAAACACAACTAACTAAAAAACTGATTTTCATCTTTAACAACAGGCAACATTTTCAGTCGCAAATGTAAAATAAATCCCAAAAGTGATCAAAACAGTGAATTTGTCAATAGCTGCCCATAATTATACTGTAAATACATTCATACTGATACAACCCAGTTTGCTTATGGTTAAGAAACTGATGTGTATTTGTTTTGATGCAAACCTCCACATAAGACCTGGTCCATGCGTTGGTCAGCTGGTTTATATCCACGTCTCCTGCTGTGAGTCTCTGCAGCGCCAGCTCTGCCTCTCTGTCATAATCCAGGATGGTCTCCTTCTCAACGAAGCTGGAAAGGGAGCTTTTTAGATCTGCAGAAAGAGATGCATACAAATAATGTCAAAAAATAAATAAAATTATCATTGGCTATATCTATTCCATTTCAAACTAACAGCATGAATGCTGACAGTACCAACTCTTTCTCCAGTCATATTCTTTGAATACTTTCATTTCAGCAACCAAATATGATGTTACTTGTCCAACAGGGTACATTTTAGTAGACATACTTGTGGAGGCTGGGGGCTGTTTAAGAATATTTGGCAATTTAGCTGTTATATTTACAGATAAAGGATATTAAATTAAAAACATACATATGTATGATATGCAGCATTGAAATGTTGACAACAACAACTTTAAAGGAGTGTGATACATGTTGGCACCGGTGCCACCACTGGTTTTATTAATGGCAGCTAAACCAATCGGAAAAAAGTAATAAATGTGTAAAGACATTTTTTGGGATGTGTTGAAGTGCTGCATGCCAAATGATCTTTCTCACAGCCATTGGCAGTTGTGTGGTCTGTTATTTTCGATAGCTTTATTGATTTTGTAAGTGCATTGCTGGTAACCAAGACTAGTGAAACGTTGGTGTTCTCATAATTAATTACAATATTTTAAGTGTATTATTTTGCTTTGCATGTGGCCTATATGGACGGAATACAATTATAGATCCATTAGAAAGGGGTCTGCAAATCCCTGTTAATATCAACTGCACCTGCAATCTGGATAAAAATGAAATACAAAAGTCCTCCATCAAGTGTTCTATAACCAAGAGCGGCAATCTCACCGGTTTCTATGTAGCAGGGTATGTTATGCAGCAGCATCAGGCGTCCATGGAGGTCACTGATGATCTCTTGAACAGGAAACTGCAGAGGAACTTTGAGGACACAGTTGTGTTGCCCTGCCCTGAACTCAAACACAAACTCCTTTTCGTTAGTACTGCTGGCTTTGCCTTTGTTCTTCTTCATGGTCGCGCAGCTGTGGGTCCGGGGTGGGCATTTTGAGGAAGAAGAAGAAGAAGCAAAAAAAGAAAGAAGTTGAAAAGGGAAGGAGAAGGAAGACAATGAAAATGAATACGGTCTTTAAAAAACAGGGTGTCTTTAATGCACAAAGCACAATGAGCACCGACCTGGGCTGGCCAGTTAAAACCACATATTGCCTGAAGCTAACCTTATTACCTAATGATCGTTGACATCTTCATTTATATATCTACAGTACGTGGGATAGGACTGAACAGTTTTCTTTAATTTCTTGCATGAGAATGCCCATTTTTTGAAATAATTAAATAATGAATAATTAAATGTCTGAGAGTCTAATGGTATATAAAAAAGGGAAGTCTTCAAATATGTGAAATGGAAATAAGCAAAGGAAACCACCTGACCCCAAACAGTACACGCACCACAGTTAGACTACTTATTTATGAATAGCTTGTTTGACTCTAAGTGGCAAAAGACAAGGGTTTTAAAGTTTTTTAAATCAATATGTTTAATTCCCAATCATTGACAGCTGTTGTTGTTGTTGTTATTGTAGCTCTATGCTAGCTAGCAGTGTAGCTAACGTTTAGGTACGAAGCTACAAAAGAAGCAGTGTGTCGTGGACATGTCAGGCTGAGCAACGCTGTTTGCTTTGTTTTGGTGAAAATGTACATCTTATATCAGGAATATTTACCTGGGCATGAATGAATATGATGTTTCCGGCTGCAGAGAAGGAGGCTCTCCTGTTTGGTTTAGTCAGCTGACAGCTGTGCTGTAACCGTAGCGTTGTGGAGGAGCACTTTCGCGACATGAGCTGCATGGGCTTAATATGTTTTTATTTATTATTTATCAGCACTGCTATGTTTGAAATTGAAAGGTTAATAATTTGGATAATTCCATTTGTTTGTTGGGGTTGTTTTCTTTCACGTACAAAGCAGATTTCTAGAGCCACGAATCTGACGACCCTGAAACTTAATTTACCCGAGCGTTTCTCCTTTGACGTGGCTGCCCCCTGCTGTACAAACATGATACAGCCAGTATCGTCTTGATCAAAGAATAAAGAGTTTCAAGGCTTTATTGTCATGTGCACATTAGCTACAGTGTAGATATGGCAATGAAAAAAGTCACAGGCTCCTCCAACAGTGCAACATAAGAGATAAGATCTTACGTTTTAAAGACTGTGCAAGTATACGAAAAGTATTATTACAATCTCAAATAATAACACATAACTATGATTTATAAATCATAATTCTGAACAATATTTAATTTTTAATATTGTGTGACCTGATCAGTTTATTAGTACTGTCATTCTTTTTTACATAGCCCACTCAAGGATAAGCTATTATAAAACAATACATTGATGTAATTTAAAAGCATTTAATTCCACTGAATCCATGTTTGTCACTGAGGGTTGAATTTCAAGGCTTATTTTGCTGTCCTTTAAAAAGATGGAAAAAAATGTACCATAGCATTTATTTTGTATATATAGTATACATAATACAAAATGTTAAACTAAAGAAAACATACATCAACATTTTAACAATTATAAGAACTATACAAAATTACGGTGGGAAATGATGTATGCATATAGGTAACACCTGTCTATAGTTCAATGTAGTACTGTAAAAAATAACATCAATGACAATAATAACAGTAATAGAGTAAGCAGTTTGAGTGTGTAAACTTCTAATAAAATGAAGAACATGGTGAGAACAAAATAATCTGTTTCATGCACCTTACAACAAGAGCCATTCAGCACCTAAGGGTTAGCCAGATTTATAAAATAAATTCTAACACTATTCATGAACTAATAACTGCTTAATTATTAATTAATACAGGATGTGTGGTATTTCAGCACTATCTACATTATAGTACGGTTATATAATTATTAGGGAAGCATCCTTAAAGGTTAATTAATTAATCATTCGTTCCTCAGCTGTTTATCAATAAGCTGATCATAAATTTCTTAATAGCATTTGATAACACATTAAGCTATTGACGTATGGTTGTCCAGCAGTTAGTTTTGAAAGTAATCTGACCCAAATCCCCCACCCTGTTTCCGTGTTTGAAATGTGACTTGTGAATCAGTCAAAAATAAGGCTTTTTCAACTATATTGTATTGGATATGTCCGGAGTTTGTTATTGGTCATGTGTGCGCGTGTCTGTATTGTGCATGATCGCGTTCATGCTCATGCACGCGTGCGTATGTTTTATTCAAGTTTGAGTAGGTAAGGGGTCGTCAAAAAGTAACACTCCTTCATTCATCCGGATAACTCTTCTCTTTAATCTAAAATAAAAATCCCACCTAATCTTTGCTGTTCACATTGAATACATTGCTGTATTAGAAAATGTTTTTTGAAGTAGATACGTTTTTATAAATATTCTTTTGAAGTGGTGTGAGTATTTGCATTTATATATACAGTCCATGGTATTTGCACACGCTCCCTGTGACGACTGAACCGTCCCTTCATACCTCGCGTGGCCAACGGCTCTTCTCCACCGACCGCTCGTTCATTGAATTACTGTTTTCAGCCTGTTCAGCGCGATTTACTGCAATAATCTGGAACCAACCAGGCCGGACTAGCTCATTTAACATCTGTTGTTTTGCACCCACTTTTCCGGCCTTCTTTTCGTCTGACTGCTGCGTTGAGGCTTGCTTTCCTGGTCTCGCTGGCTGGGTTTGGTCGGGGAGGCAGGGGAAGTACGAAGCTGCTCCCGAGCTATGATGGAGCTAGAGTCGGCCAGTGGCAGAGGCGAGCTTGGGGCTGTGGGGGACTCGCTGCAGCCACAGACTCCCAGCAGGCACGAGAAGAGCCTGGGACTCCTCACCACTAAGTTTGTGACTTTACTACAGGAGGCGAAGGACGGAGTGCTGGATCTGAAAGCGGTGAGCATTCAGTAGAGTCTTTGTTGTTAGCTAGCACATGTCATTTTGAGCCTGCCTGCTGTCGTTAGTTTACATGCACTTTCGCTAGCCTGCCTGTTAGCCTAGCCTAGCTGTGTGACAAGCTAATTTGATTGGGTGATACCACTTTGCTAGTGTTTATAGTTTTAAAACACCTCTAACACGTTATTAACCTACTCTAAAATGCGCTGTCGTGGCATTTGGTCTTTCTGGAAGTGAGGTTACAAAGTGAACTTTGAGAACAGGTCAACTTCTCAGACTCTGCCCCCTGGAGATTCAGAGTTTAAAAAGTGGGTCAGCTTTTGTCGTTCCTTTCTAAGCAAACGCTTATGCATCTTCACACATGAACAACCTTTTTTCCTGATTGATAACGTCTTTGTCACTTAACGACATCCATTCAATGCGCTAGTTTCCGGTATGTAATCCAAAAGCATATATTTTAACCACAATGAATTAGCTTTGTAATTAAATTCACATATCCATTAACCTACGTTAGCTATGTTTTTCACAGTCAAGGATATTTTTAATTAACCTTCCCAGGAAATGATCACCCTTCCTGCTGAGCAGCATGTGGTGAGAGTCTATAAAGTTACTTATATAAGTAGTTTGTGTGTGTGTAAACTTCTAATAAGATGAAGTTGTTAAGAGAAGTGGATCTGTTTCTGGCAATGTTCAGCAAATATCACTCGGCACAACATGGGGTTACTCTGATGGCAGACTTATACAAAATGCTAACCCTTGTCCTCCTGCAATATAAATAAAAACATTTAGAAAACCAACTGCCAGCCATGTTTTTCTCAACTGAATCCAGTAAACCAGATGGCAGCTTGACCAGCCAAGCATGACTTGTTACAGTGACCTCACTGACACTCATGTTGTCCCTCTGCTTTGTCTTTCACTCTTTCACTTTCACCTGCCCATAACAATTCAATTCAAATCAGCCTCTCCTCAATGAAACAGAATAATTGACAGGTAAATAAAAGGCTTGGAAATATGGCCAAAATCTTATATCCCAATCATTTTGTACCTCAAAAACTATATGAATCATGATATAGCATTTTTGTATTGGTTATTAAACAAATAAATAGTCTAACTCTAAACTAAATAAGCACATGGTACATTTTATTTTTGTATTCTCCCGTGGGACTTGCATAGTTAACCAACAAAAACTAGTATTTACTTTCCAAAAATGGAAACGTTGCTCGGTCTAAAGTCTATGTCTTGACATTGATGGATACATTGAAAAGGCATTAGGGAAGATGTCTGGGTCTATATCCTCTGGTGAAAAAGCCTGCACTTATCTGCACCAGCCATATGGTTATCATTAGTTTCTTAAACAGCAAGAGGTTGGGCTGAGGAGGAAGTTGAAATGACAGTTATACTGTTCCATGTGCGGCTCCAGGGCATTGCACCCACCGGCACAGATACAGTGGTCTCTCTCTGTCTGTGTCTTTAGATATGAGCCCACTAAATGATATACTGCCAGTAATCTTCACTGTTGTTGTAATTGCTTTTGTCCTGCCTTCAGGCTGCAGACACCTTGGCTGTGCGACAGAAACGACGAATCTATGATATCACTAATGTGTTGGAAGGAATTGGATTGATCGAGAAGAAGTCCAAGAACAGCATCCAATGGAAGTAAGTGTTCAGTCAATATTTTATATATCTGAGAATCGCAAGAAAGTGGTTGATGTCACGTTATCCTTGTGTGCACTTGTGTTCGCCTGTGTTGATGTGTGAACAACTGACTCTGACTCAGTGACTGTATTTCTCTAGTTGTAACAGTAGATACATTAATGTTGAGGAGGGTGTGTAGCTATATGAAAATAATCAGAATCTAATTCTTATTTTTTCATTATAGAACTGACCATAGGCTATGCATGTTGTATTTGTCACTTTTCTTGCAAGCTCTTCTCACGGGTGATCTTTTCATAACAACGCTACTACTAAATAAACATGAATTAAAAAAGATGTTGCATGCTCATGGTCCTGCGAAGCTTACTGTTTGTCTGTGTGTTCCAGGGGCGTAGGTCCAGGATGTAACACCAGAGAGATAGCCGACAAGCTGATCGATCTGAAGGCCGAGTTAGATGACCTGGCTCTGAGGGAGAATGAGCTGGACCAGCAGAGAGTCTGGGTCCAACAGAGCATCAAGAACGTGACAGACGACTCTAACAACAGCCCATATCCTTTTTCAATTCAAGATTCAAAGGTTTATTGTCATAACATCTACAAAACTATGGGGAATTATATAATGTAATCCTTTACTGTTCAGTGTGTTTGTTTAAAACTAGAAAGGTTTTTTTAAAGAGGCATCCAATGGTCAGTGCTGGTCCATCGACCAAAAGTTAATATGGTGGAAACATAATCACCAACTGATGGTCCTAGAAAGATTGTTGGGGGAAATGGTGCTCATCCAAGCCCAGGCCATCCATTCTGATATTGAGTGGGTGTTTTTCTCAGACGTGATAACCCAAGAAGATGTTAATGAGCTGTTTTCACAACTTACAGACAGGGAATTGTAAAGTAGAAAAGATAAAGATCAATAGAGTTTCCAAGGATTATATAAAGAATAAATGAAAAATCTCTACAAAAGACCAATACACTACAAAAACAGAAACGTATCGACATAGGTAATATACATCAAAAAGACTTCAAATGTATTCAGTCTTGTATGAACATGTTTGATTTGGGGGCTGGACATCACATCCTCTAGGGGGGTAAGATTTTTTTGAACATTTGAAAGTAAAATGCTTCAATCTGGTGCACTTTGAGCGCTCAATTACTAGAGACCTGATCTAGGGGGTACAACTCTAAAATACCCATATGAAAAAGATCGGTTTACATTTTAATAATCAAATAAGTATGTGA